CAAATGTTCAAAAAAGAAATTCAGGACTAAAATGCAGCCTGGGTTGGAAAAGTAGTCTAATTGGCTTCTTTTTCTGGAAGTTATACACTTTCAAAGTGTGAACTTGAACTCCCATGGGCCTGAAGCCTTATGCTTGTTACACGTTTTACTTGGTATTACCTGTTGAGCATAATTAAAATTTGATGTTGAATTTGCAGTTTAACATAATGTACTTTTGCATCAGAATTGACAGTAGCCTATTTTGTGCATAGTTATTTCCTGCTTTTTGTCTGTACATTTGACAGCTTTGCTGCCTTGGTTTCCCCTTTTCAGCATATATGCAACACTATAAACACAATATAAGGAAAACAGATAAGCCAGTTGTCATTAAACTCACAGGAGTGGTCAATGCTGCTAAAACACAGGTTGAGTTCGAAAATCAGTATAATCGGGCCATTATTTTAGAAGTTGTGTTGTTTTTTCATATTTCCTCAGATTCAATTCTTAGGCATGTTAACAGTCTCATTATTTAACTAATAAGATACGTAAAAGTGTTATTTTGACATTTCCAGCATCTTTACAACATTGTCAGTTGATTTTGTAAAAATAATGGTAAACTTATCGTATATTGTGTAATAAAGTTTCAAAAATGGAAATAAACTCATGTCATAGCAATTTGTCAGATTCAATCATTCACTATGTTCAGAATCTCAGAATGGAAGAAATTGGACATTTAACACTGCTCTATTGATATTTTTCTTAGTTGATCATATAAAAATGGCAGTAAACTGTTAATTTTGTTTTATGTTAAAAAAAAAAAAAAACATTTCAGAACAGTGCTGTCTTGTTTACATTTTGGCATTTTCAAGTTGTGACTTTGAAGTTCCATGGGCCTGAAGACCTTTCCATATCACATTTTCTGAATATCCATGATACTAATATTTTATTATTAAAAATTGATGATCATTATGCTGTTAAACGTTATGTAATATTGCATCAAAAAACTATTTTGGGCACTGCTCCCATGATGACCATTTAAGAAAAACCAGGTCACTTACTGTTCTCAAACTTACAGGAAAGAAACATGCGACTAAAATACAGCTTCAGTAGGCAATGCAGTCTGTTTGGTAATTCTTACTGCCAGTTAAACAGTTTTTTTGTGAAAATTTAATTTTTCACAAGATATGCTTGAAGACCCGTGCTAGTCACATTTTCTGAAAATCCATGATACGTATATTTTATTTTAAAAAATTGACAGTCTTTATGCTGTTAACCATTATGTAATATTGCATCAGAATAGAAGAAAACACAATTTTGGGTGGAAGTTATACATTTTCAAAGTGTGAACTTGAACTCCCATGGACCTGAAGCCTTATGCTTGTTACACATTTTACTTACATTGGTATTACCTGTTGAGCATAATTAAAATTTGATGTTGAATTTTTTGCATCTTTATTTTCTGTTTTTTGTCTGTACATTTGACAGCTTTGCTGCCTTGTTTTTTAATTTCTCTTTATCATTTACATTTGTTACATCAACACTGTTCATGTTATCATATTGATTTAAGCTATGTTCCATTCTTTTACCTGTTTGTTTTGGTAATAAAAGTTTAGCTTGGGTCCAATGTTTATCTTGACGCATGTGATCTTTACTTAACTGACTATAGTTAACAGTATCCAAGACATTTATTGGTTCATAATCACGTCTCGATAATGCGTCAGCTGGGTTTTGTTTTTCCAGGCCTGTGAATTATTTCAAAATCTAGGCCTTGTCATTTTAATGACCATCTAATAAGCCTGCCATTTGTACATGTATGTTACATTTTGTAACCAAGATATTGCTTTATTATCTGTATACACTTTGAAATGGTTGTTGGACAAATATTGTTCAAATTGCTTTATCCCTTCAATAACTGCTAAACATTCTAACTCATGAATTGTGTAGTTCTTTTCTGCGTTGTTTAAAGATCTCCCTCCATACGCAATAACTATATCTTGATTGTTGTCATTCTTTTGACCTAAAATATATCCTATAGCGGAAGTAGATGCGTCTGTTGTTAATGTAAACTCTCGCGACATATCAGGATAAGCTAATATTGGAGGTGAAATTAACGCTTCTTTTAATGTTTGAAATGATGTTTCACATTCAGGACTCCATAAAAATTGTATGTCTCTCCGTAAAAGTTTATTTAAGGATTCTGCTATTTTACTGAAGCCTTTAATAAATTTTCTGTAGAAGTTACACAATCCTAGAAAACTTCTAACGTCTTTAACAACATTTGGTGTTGGAAATGATTTTATGGCTTCAAGATTTTTCTTGTCTGGTCTTATTCCATTTTTATCTATAACATGAATATTTATTTATAATTTTATTTATAACATAAATATTTAGCTTTTGGTGTTGCAAACTTACATTTTGATGGTTTTAGTGTAAGATTGGGAGATCTCAGTTTTTTTGGAATACTAACTCTAAAAGTTTTAAATGATCATTAAATGTTTTACTCGTGACCAAAATATCGTCAATGTATATAAGGACAGTTTTCCAATTCGTGTCTTTAAAAATGTTGCTCATTAAAGCCTGGTAGCTAACACCGGCGTTACGAAGGCCGAATGCTAAACGTAAAAATTAAAAATGACCATGGTGTGTGATGAAAGCAGTCTTGTGTTTAGTTTCAGGATCAAGGGGTAATTGCCAATATGCACCTGCCATATCTAAACTAGAGAAATATCTAGCACCTGATGTACCTATCGTTTCAAAAATATCATCTAAACGTGGATGTGACCAATGCATAGGTTTTGTAACTTTATTTAACTTCCGGTAATCTATTGCGAATCTATATTCACCGTTTTTCTTTTTTACAAGTACCACTGGACTACTATATTCACTCATGCTTTCTTCAATTATGCCATGTTTTAACATATCGTCTACTTGTTTGACAATTTCATCTTTCAACTTTGGTGACGTACGATAAAATGTTTGTTTAACAGGAACATCATTTATTGTGTCAATTCGATGTTTATACATATTTGCTGTGCCTAACTCTGAAAGGTTGATAGCAAAAACATCACGATTACGTCCTATCAACATTTTCAGCTGTTGTTTTTGATCCTCACTTATGTCTGAATCAGTAAACTTTATATTTTTAAATTAAAATTTTTCAGCTTTTTGTAATGCTTCATGATCTGATAACCTATGATCACCCTTTTGTATTTTATTCCCTTTTGACATTTCATTTAAAACAGTTATGCTGTCCAGATTAATTGATCTTGCAGTAGCTAATATTGTTCTTTTAGGCAGAAAAATACTTCCATCACTAGGATTTAATATTATGTAGTAAGATTTTTTATTAATGGAAACTAAACATTTTGCTCCAATAAGATTTTTCTTTGACCCAAGTTTTTGTACTGGCTCTAATAAAGCTACTGAGGCAAATGAAGAATGTGATATTTTCACAGGAATTAAGCATTCGCATCCGGATGGAATCATTTGATTTAAAGTTACGCCTTAAACCTAATACATGTGGACTATACATGGATAAGAGCAAATCATAATCAAGCAATGTCATGCTATTAGACGATAAATCAATTTTTACATTATGTTTTTTTTAGAAAATCTGTACCTAATATCAAACCTCTTGGCATTTGACTATATACATGGAATTTATGTCTTATGATCACATTTTCAAAACAAAGAGGTAATTCTACTTTTCCTAGAACTTTAATCACAGATCCATCAACAACCGTAACTTCTCTTAATGATGGTTTTTCATATGAGTTTCGATCTTTTCTTCCTAATTTTGATTAAAGTGCTTCTGATATACAAGCTATGACACCACATTCAAAGGTTGAGGCAATGCCACGACATGTCAGTTTACTAAATACTCGTTATAAATTTCTTTATCTTGGAAATCTCCCTTTTTATTTTCAGGATTATTTTGACACATACTAACACTTCTTATTTGTTGGTAAACAAGTGTACAGTGCTAAACATTAAGAATAATTTTTATTCATTCATAAATATATTTATGTACAAAATATATCAGAAATTTTAGTATTAACTGAGCTCTTTAAAGTGAAACAAATAAAGATGAAAATTTTGAATTTCAAACTTATTTACTATATTAACTTAAAATATCGTTTAAGTCAACTCTATCAAGCATCATGATAGTAGTATCTGTGAGTAAAACCATTTTATTATATCAATAGAAGAACAAAAACAAAATTTTAAACATAAGCAGTAATTAATGAAGTCATAAGAATGATTAAGTTGCTATAGTTTTCCAGTTTTATGCAGTCTGTGTTGGAATTTTTTTCAACCGTACAAATAGAAATAATTATATTCTTTTTTATCTGACTTGTTCATACCAGTCTGTGCCAGATACTATTCCACTCACAGGCAATCAAGGTCTGAGAATCTAATGGGCTGAATGAAAAAAAAAACCTAGAAGATAAAGTGGCTAATTCTTACAAATAGGATAAAAAACATGGGATTTTCAAAAGGTTATTATAAATCAAGACAACACTTAGTAAGAACATTTATAAAATGAACTGGAGTACATGTTACAGCTGAAAAAATTAACTTGGCCAGTAAGTGACTGCTTTAAAGAAATTTCACTGAAACAGTCCAAATTTTACTGGCAATCAAGTAGACTGTTATACCATGGCACTCATGGCACTGTTATGACTTGACTGAAATAATGTTCACCACATAAATGAACAATTTCCAACTAAATTTATGTAGAATATCAAGATTCATGATCACAAGCTAATAACCCCAAGAAATTGAAAGAAATTGTACTTATTACAAGAAATTATTTAAATCCGCCCTGGTTCCTACTCTTCTGACAGGACAAAAAGGGGATTTCAGAGAGGCTGGTTGCTAAAAGGAAAATGCCCAAGGTTGTCGTATTTTGAAAAAAAATTAAAAAGGGTACTGTTGTTAGTGAATGTTTAATGCATCCTAGGCATTATGACAAAAGTAACTTACCCCAGACACGCTGACTTTTTTCACTGACATTTTTAAATTTTTTCCAGCCTGACCATAATTCATATATTCAATGCAGCCTTCTCCCATATCTATAATAGAAGAAAAAAAAAAACTTGTGTAGTGTTAAGATATGCATGTAAAATTCATTATCAATTTTGAGAGAATTTCTGTTTCAACACTGCAAGATGAAATATTTACTTTCAAGTAATGAATAAACCTTAATAGAGTTCTATTCTTTTGTAACCACCAAGGCAAAGCTTCTTTCTTAAAATGAACTGAAACATCCAAGCTTGCCACCTAACATGCCAAAGTAGTAAAGTATAATTAAAGTAGAGAAGCTAGTGCCCCTTAATTATAGAGGTGTCTTACACAATAAGGTGTGTCTTACACACCTTGACTCAAAGGGAGATGTGTAGTGAGATAACAGGTAAAGTAATTGGTGGAGCCTAGGTGAACTTAAAACCTTAAGACTTTAAATTAAGAAGCACCAGGATTCATGTGTGTTCTTTTTTCAAAGGTTTAATATGAATTAAAACATATATATGTAAAAAGAAGACTGAATAAGTTTAAAATAACTATACCAAAGACACTGTGAAGTCAAAATTCCCGTTAGACCGCCATGATGGAAAATGCTGAGTGGAGGCAAAACTTTTCCAGTCAAAATAACTGAACACCTTACTTGAACAACAAAGTTACCACTCCAAAACCACCCACCATGGTGAGAAGAAAAATGATGACCAACTGTCATGATAAGTCTTCTTAGTTTTAAACACGAAAAAGGTAAAGGCAAAAATGGTACATTTACCCATAACACTAAAGTAAAAAACTGGTATTCTGAACAAAACAGGTTATTTTTTTCAAGAAATATTGGAGCAATACCCATGCAATATATACCAAGCCACGACCAAGATGTTCAAGAATCTAAACACACCAAAATCTTTTATAATCACGCATTTGAAAAGTGCAAAAAACGTTCAGGCTTTTGGCCGTAACAATCGTAACACTTTTTGATCTGGACTCGTGAAAATTGTCCCTTGTCGTATTCAAGATAGACCACATGTAAAATCGAAAAAACCAACAATACTGCTCAAGAAAATGTATTGCACACACACCAATTAGTTAAATTTTATGACTGTCATGTGACACAAGTATCAAAAAGTAGGAGGAAAATGTCTTTTGGAGTTATTTTTTTTCGAAACATAAACAAGATGGTGGCTTATACATCTGCTTGTTATTAGGCTACTGAAAGTGCACCTAAGTTGTATTCAATGCTATTGCCGAAATAACTAAACAATTGCAACTGTATAAAGACCAAACTATCTTCATCTGATACTATATTTATAAGCACTTGTTATGAGTGGGAAATATTTTCCGTGCAATATTTATTCTCTACACACCACCTCGCGAGATCGACGTGGAGCTGGACACTTACACAGTGAGAATCCACGGCATAAAAGTTGCAATTTATCTTCATATTTCAAGTAGTTATGCATTTAAAAGCTGTTACCTGTTTTTTGATAACCTTATCCAACGTTATATCCTCTGCACTCTGTAATTCTTTCATTTTAAGAAACTTTTGACTGCGTTTCTGTTTGTGTCCTCTCCAAACGACAGACGAAGGCACCTATTCTGACAAACGAGATTTAAACGAGAGTAACAGAAAGCGTAACAGAGATAGGAACCCATTGTTCTCTGGGTTCTATTCATTCCGACCAATGAGAGACCGTAATACGGGCTCTGCCTCCACGCGTGTAATCTCCTTCTGTTATAACTCCTTGGTCAACTAAAGCATTAACTTGTAATTTGTCAATGTGAACTGATACTAAATTATTAGCTTGGTAATTAGACATAATCGAAATTGGCACTTTTCTATTTTCAGTCTTATTATAGAATTTTCTATGCGTTCCTTTTCTTAGTTACTTGCTCACTCGTGCAGCATGACAAACTTTTGCTTAATGCCCCACTTTGCCACAATAATAACAGTTGAAATTGCGAGTGAAACATTTAGACCTTAGATGTGTGTACTCACCACATCCCTGACACGTGGGCCATCCCTTCACTGAGCTTTGTTGCTGTGTGTTGTTCGGACGACTTGTTGGCAGTGTTTTGTACCCGGGGCATCGTGGTAGTAAGTTAATAATAATAATAATAATAATAATAATCTTTATTGGAGAATCACAACCCGAAAGTTGAAGTTATACAATTATATATGAATATTCACGTCAAGGAAACCTGGTCATTTTTACACTGGTGCACTCCATAGACGGTCTCACCTCCCTGGGGAGCATACAGCTCGGCTGCCATATTAGGCGCTCATAGCTAATATATCATTTCTGCACTGCCTGACCAGGCCCCTGCTTCAACCCCTTAGTGCTGAGTGCCAAGCGGGGAGACAGCAGGTACCGTTTATAAAGGACTGGTATGTCCCCGGACGGGTTTTGAACCCACGTCCTCCCGCTCCGGAGGTGGACACTCTAACCACAAGGCCATCCGGTCGGTCTGATGTTGCGTTGGATGATGCGCCCGTGGCCGATGCCGTTGGTACCAAACCTTCTCATGGAAGTCAATGACCTTGGTCTTGGAGGCATGATGTTTCCAACATTCGGGACCTGTCTCGTGACTTGTCTCGGGTTCTGTACCATTTGTACTTCAGGCTTCTACTGGCAAGGACAGCATCACTGATGGAACTTTTTAAGGCGTCGATTTTTTCTGTGATCATTTTGATATCAGACTCTTCTTGTGGGTTGTACTGCATTTTCTGCAATTGGGGCATGGTGCATCAACGAGTCGAAGTCGGCTGGTTCCCTTTGCACCACAAATGGTCTTATTTCTGGTAGTAGTCCGTTCATTACTACAAGAGCTGTACCCTCATCTAATCGAGCACGTTTTGCATCATGCTGCATCGACGCTATATAATTCTGCACTGGTTCGTCTTGCCTTTGGTTTCGTCGGAAAAACTCCGACGCCTTCGCCCAAGTTTTCCCATCTCTCAGCTGATATCATTGCCGAAACTCGCCCTCAAGGGATTCCCAGTCTTTTTGTACTCTAGCTGGCAAAGATTCATACCAATCTAGAGCTGACTGCTTTAACAAGAGAGGAAAAATGGACGTTATTTGATCCCCTTCTAGTTCTTTATAACTGACATAGTTTCTAAAATGAGTCAGCCATCTCTCTACATCTTCATCTCCATTTCCTCTAAATTTTTCCGGAGCTAACCCTAGATCTGACGACATTGTTTTCTTGCTAGTTTTTTCGATTGTTAATAAACTGTTCATCTGGCGATCTTGGACGTTCAGCGTATACTGCTTATTCTTCACTGAGATCAATGATGATTGGAGACTCTTAGCGGACTCTGTCGTTGTCGGAGTCGCTTTTGTCATCGTTGTTGTCGTCGTCGCTAATAACAATGGGCTCGTTTTCGGTAAAACTGATGACAGTTGAAGATTCGGAGTCGGTTGTGTCATTGTCGTTGTCGCTATCAACAATGGGAGACTCTGGACGGTTTGAAATGGATTTTTGTTTAACGATGCATGACCCTTCCAATTCGATGATTTGGGAAATTTGGTTGTCGTGGCTGTTGGAATTGGTTTGGCCTCTTTCAAAAAATATGATGGTGATTTTTGCTCGATGACTTGATCTAAAAAACTGCATTTCTGAACAACAGTCTGTTGGTGTGAACTTTCAGGTAGTGTTTCGTCTTCTTCGGACGACTCACTGCTAGATGATAGAATTTCAAAAGTTTGTTCACTTTCTGTAACGTATTTCGGTGCAAAAGTACAAAAAGTCTTCAATCATTTATTCACCACTCACTTTTCATACAATTTTACCCATATTTATACTGTAATTCTCCGTACTGATCACGCGTGTAATTATGTTCATTTAATTGTTTATGGCGTGATTTCCAGAAACTTTCCATTGTCATGTTGACTTTACCATAGAACATTCTCTTATTAGGCAATGTCTAAGAGACTTGTTTTCAACTAAACTTATCCAAAATACTATTTGCATTACTCATATTGAATCATGCCCAAAACTTAGTTATCATGTGATAAACAGTTGATCAAAATAAAAATCTGCTATGAAATTAACCAATCTTATTAAATGTTATTGGCTTTGACCTTTTCCATCTTTTTCTGACATGTTCTACACTTGTTGACACTCGATGAAACTTAATTTGCACTCAATATCACTCTAACTTTTCATCTATTTGATTTTTGTATCATTACTAATTGTAATTAGTGTAAGCGTAAGTAATTAACTTTACAACAATAGTGTATTCTGTAATTAAGTGTGAAAAACGGAAATGAACTCATATCATTGCAGTTCTCAAAGACAAGCCTGGTGCTGACATGGCTATCCCGCACGAAAACGCAGTAGATGCTCCAGCGCAGTAGACTACTGCAATCATACTGCAAATATGCCTCAAATCTGCTTTGCATTGGGAGCTAATTAGCATATTTGAAACATGCTTCTATCATGCTGCTAATCTACTGCATTAATGCTCCTCCTCTGTACAACCCTATGCAATTTTTGAAGTAGAATTGCAGTAGGGTATACTGCATTTCTACTGCAAATATGCTCCACACCACTACTGCGTTAATGCTTCTTTGCTACTTCGATACTACTGCATTTTCGTGCGGGTAGTACTATCAACAACATTGCTGTGATCCTGGAGAAAAAGGGCGACATGAGTGGTGCACTAGAGTACCACAAGAGGTCGCTAGAAATAAGGAAAAGTGTGCTGGGAGATAAGCATGAAGATACAGCGCCATCTTTTCACTTTTTTGTTAGAGTATGGCAAAACGTGAGATTATATAGGCAAAATCTACAGATACAGCAGAAGGAACTAGGAGACAACGTTGACACGGCCTCTACTCTTCAAAGGATAGCATACTTACTGGACCACATGGGTGACTTGGACGGTGCACTGAATATGTACAGACAAGCACTGGCTATGTATGACATTGTTCTCAAAGACAAGTCTGATGCTTACATGGCTACTTCTATCGACAACATTGGTTTGATCCTGGAGGAAAAGGGCGACATGAGGGGTGCACTAGAGTACCACAAGAGGGTGCTAAAAATTAGGAAAAGTGTGCTGGGAGATGAACATGAAGATACAGCAGCATCATTCAACAACTTAGCAAATGCACAGCTACACTTAGGAGACAATGACAGTGCACTGGCATCATACAGACAAGCTCTACACATACAACAGAAGGTACATGTACTAGGAGATCACGTTGACACAGCTATTACTCTTCATCAGATAGCATACACACTGGACCAGATGGGTGACTTGGACGGTGCACTGAATATGTACAGACAAGCACTGGCCATGAAAGAGAAAGTTCTCAAAGACAAGTCTGTTGCTAACATGGCCAGCACCATAAACAACATTGGCTTGATCCTGGAGAAAAAGGGCGACAATAGGGGTGCACTAGAGCACTACAAGAGGGCGCTAGAAATAAGGAAAAGTGTGCTGGGAGATGAACATAAAGATACAGCAGCATCATTCAACAACTTAGCAAATGCACAGCTACACTTAGGAGACAATGACAGTGCACTGGCATCATACAGACAAGCTCTACACATACATCAGAAGGTACTTGGAGATCACGTTGACACAGCTATTACTCTTCATCAGATAGCATACACACTGGACCAGATGGGTGACTTGGACGGTGCACTGGATATGTACAGACAAGCACTGGCTATGAAAGAGAGAGTTCTCAAAGACAAGTCTGTTGCTAACATGGCCAGCACCATAAACAACATTGGCTTGATCCTGGAGAAAAAGGGTGACAATAGGGGTGCACTAGAGTACCACAAGAGGGCGCTACAAATAAGGAAAAGTGTGCTGGGAGATGAACATAAAGATACAGCAGCATCATTCCAAAAGTTAGCAAGGGCACAGCAAAAACTAGGAGACAATAAGAATGCACTGACATCATATAGGCAAGCTTTACAGATACGACAGAAGGTGCTAGGAGACCACGTTGACACTGCCTCTAGTCTTCATCAGCTAGCATACACACTGGATCAGATGGGTGACTTAGACGGTGCACTGGATATGTACAGACAAGCACTGGCTATGAAAGAGAAAGTTCTCAAAGACAAGGCTGATGCTTACATGGCTGGTACTATCAACAACATTGGTTTGATCCTGGAGGAAAAGGGTGACATGAGTGGTGCACTAGCGTTCCACAAGAGGGCGCTAGAAATTAGGAAAAGTGTGCTGGAAGATGAACATGAAGATACAGCAGCAACATTAATCAGGTTAGCTAGAGCACAGCTAAAGTTAGGAGACAATGAAAGTGCTCTGACATCATATAGACAAGCTTTACAGATACAACAGAAGGTACTAGGAGACCACGTTGACACTGCTATCACTATTCATGAGATAGCATGCACAATGGATGAGATGGGTGACTTGGACGGTGCACTGGATATGTACAGACAAGCACTGGCTATGTATGACATTGTGCTCAAAGACAAGCCTGATGCTAACATGGCCTGGACCATCCACAATATAGGCTTGATCCTGGAGAGAAAGGGTGACTATAGGGGTGCATTAGAGTACCACAAGAGGGCGCTAAAATTAAGAAAAAGTGTACTGGGAGATGAACATGAAGATACAGCAGCATCAGTCCACCACGTACAGCTAAACCAGAGAGACCCTTGATAGTAGACTTTGGTTACATTCTTACTGTAAGAAATAGAACCCTATCTGTTCATAATTATAGGGCGGTCCTCGGCGAGCGTGGCCGGGTAGCGTGGCAATTTTGACCCCTGTAGTCAGCGAGTAGCCCATTTCGCATAGCCAGCTCTGCACCCCGGCGGTTCCCTGTAGTATTGCCTCAATGATTATCTGCAAATGGACCTGCCTTTTGTTTCCACACGTGGTGGCATGCGTAGCCTTCGCATTTCTGGCTGTAGAAAAGATCGGTCAAAAGTGGTATTTTTAACCCTCAAGTGACCGAGTGGGGTCATTTACGACCCCAGCCATATGATTTAATGTGCCATCTCTTTATTTTTTATTCGAATTTTCTTTCCTTGCATGAGTTTGTCAGTCTACTAATCCTACACACTTTCACAGTTTTTTGTAGGGATCAACCATTTAGTGTGGCGTATACATCACAAACGCTTGTGGGGTCATTTATGACCCCAAAGCAAAGCATTGGTTTTTAAATATAAGTTTTTAAATTTTATTCAAATGATTGCTCATGCAACACTGACAGGAAAATGTCACATGCATGTGCTTCATGCAACCAGCCAGTGTGCCCAAAACATAGGCACAAATAAGTGGTTTGTAAAGATTGTGCTTGAAGTGTTACTAATAGTGCATCACTGAATCTAATTTCAGTAGCTTTGCTGGAACTTGTTCTCATAACTGGGTCTCTCATTTTGACTGTTACAATTTTCAGGTATTTCTGAAATCTAAATAATTCTGTCGATATCATATTATACATATATTAACATATTGTTTGTGTGGATTTTGTTTTATACACAGCTGTGGTAGTAACATACATGTAGGTTGATTGAATGTGTTCTGAGTAGTACGACTTCCTTACCAGCATTAGGGTATTCCCTACTCAGCAAGTCAGCTAATTATTCTTATTGAAGTTAGCAGGATGCTGTCTCAACATAAATCAAAATATTTTTACTCAAAGTAATTTTGTAATGTACTTTTTTCATTTAGTGTGGCAAATGAAAAGAGAAATATTTCTGCAAGTGGAAACTGACAATGACTGTCTAAATACCGGTGTAATGTTGTTCTTAAAATCTGTGCTTGGTTATTTCATGCAATAAAAGTATTATTACCAAATACTTATTACATTAGATCATTATAAAATACTTGTCTTTAATCCTGGGAGTAGTATGGGTGTGATAAAGCCTCAACAGCGTTTTATAATAAGGATCCCTGTACACAGCACAATGGGGTCATAAATGACCCCACTTGGTCATTTCAGTCAGTAAAATAGCTTGGTCTCTTGAGGGTTAAAGGGCTTTAATGAACGATGTTGCTTGCTTGCTATTTATATGTATTCATTTACTGATATTGACAGTATTTACTGATATTCTTGCCTCTTCCTTAGAACATTCCTGACCTAGCGTCTGGCTTAGATTTCAAATAGCTCAGCGGTTTTATGAGCCGCCTGCTTAAATTTAAATGTGCTATGTATAGTTAATTGACCTGGTTGAGCAAGCTGTAGGCGTACTGTTTATATCAAACTGACAGTTAACATAAACATGCCCCCTGGCTTGAAATGAATTTGGTCTATTGAAAGTTACCAGTAAAGTCTGGCTTAAATTGAGCTATGAAGTTTAAGATTTATATATTATGCAATTGTATATTATAATAAGACTTCAATCATTTGTCTGATTGCAATAATAATAATAATAGCAATAATAATAAATATAATATTTTCACAGCATTATTTAAATATATACATCTGTACACTCAGTTATTTTTTATAGGTAAAGGACATGCACATACAATATATGAGTGAATGTAGCTTGGAGGATAAAGCCAAAAACTGCTTTTAACCCGAACAATTTTAAAGTCATTTTGACAAGCTCTTCGTCAAAAATAAAATCTTTTAAGCCTGATAACTATAAGTTACTGATCAAAAGATTAGCACATGTGCTTCTCAGTTGCAAAGAGAAACACNTGATTATTATGCTGTTAACAATGCAAAGACAACATAAAGAATGTGCCCAACCAGGGCGTAATAAACATGGGGTCTGTGTTTTTATGCATAGGACTAGATTTGATCCAGGCCTTTGACATATATACACCATAGACAGCTAGCAGAAAAATGAATTCAAATATCATTCTTGGGTAATATTAAACGATGTCTTTTGGTAATACTCTTAGTTATACTATTTGAAACTATATGCTGGCATTTGGTATGCTTTTGTGGCAAAAAAATTGACTTCATATGCATATTTGTTATAACAATGGTCTGTAGCTCTGTTGCGCGCAAAGGATTGTGGTCTATATGAGGGTCCAACTTGCCCTAGTCAAGGGGGCCAACATTTTTTTTTAAAGGATTGCAACCATTTTGGTACTAGAATGAACAACGATGATGCATTTCTGTGAAACATGAAACAATGATCTTCAGTTTGATGCCGTATGCATATATCACATTTGACCTAAAGCCTATCAAAATAGATTTTAAAATCTCTTAAATAAAGTTTAAGATGTACATTTTTTTTTCGTTTGGACTCACCGCCTAAATAATATTTTTTTTACGACCGAAGCTTTCTTGGAATTATTGGATACGGTCACTTTACAAAATGATGTGATCAATTTTTTTCATCCCGTTGTTACTTTTCCATAAATTGATGGGGGGGGCAACTTACCCCGGGGTCCAACCAGCCGGGTCTCCACAATATCTTAAATCAAAATCCAAAATATTCCATCATTATATATACTCGTGTTATAAAAACATTGTATTCAATCTAAAGTTAACACACCAGCATGTGCGTCTTTTTTACAGAGATCAAACCAGTGACACTTAATAGGATATTCAAAGTCGAACGCATGTTGATATAAAAGATGGTTTCATGGATGAATTTTTTTAGAATAAAGCACCAATCTCCAGACATACGCCATCATCTTGAAATAAGATCTAGAAAACCGCATTTTCAATATGAAGACGACTTTATAATTTATGACGTACTCATTGATAAATCATGCATATCATATTTAAACGCTGCAGTTATATTGCTGTTGCCCAGTGCAACGACTGCAAGACCCAGCGGTAAGTATAATCAGATTCATATACTTTTTAAGGTCCTGTATCTACATTAAAGAATGTTAAAGAAAATAATCGAATACTCCACACTTACTGCATATATGGTAATTATAAATAACAACCTGGAATGCTTTCATACTGTTAGCTTACCGCTTAATTGGACGTAGACCTTCATCAGACTGATGTAAGTGGATGCATGTTGTTACTAACTTACCGTTAGGTAGTGAAGTGGCCAGCTAAAGGTATGAAATCATTCCTGGATTTCCAGCTTGTGTTTCATAATTATATATATATATATATATATATATAGAGAGAGAGAGAGAGAGAGAGAGAGAGAGAGAGAGAGAGAGAGGTTGCTGTCGTTAATTACGAGTATGATCGAATTTAAATACAATGGCTCAAGCATGTGATTCCAATTAATGTTTCGTTTACAGAGGTATGTACATGAATTTTCTTGTTTTTTCTTTTTTTCATTTTTATGCATGTTTTGTTCTTAAAATTAATATCTATTCTTTTTTATATGTATTTTTCTGTTTTTGTAGAAAATGCATTACAAAGAACATTTCCTACTGGCATGTACAATAATCACACTAACTGTGTTCATCATGATGGGGTTTTACGTCAAAACATTCTCCCATTTGAAATGAAAGAAAGAAGCAGTACAGACATCGAGGTTCTTCAAGATCTTTTCTCGAGAGAACTGGACGCACTTGATCCCAGGCTGCTAGAGTTTGTGAGGCGCAAACTGCTCTATACGCCGTCTAGGAGGCCTCGGAATCTTAAGAGGCCCAAAGCAATTGATTATTCCCAAAACGGCCAAAGTAGTCTGGTTGATCAAGTTCTGCACCATCGACGCAATGGGTTCTTTGTGGAGGCCGGTGCTTGGGACGGGGAGCAGGGCAGTAACTCTTTATTTTTCGAAAAATCACGCAACTGGACCGGAATACTGGTGGAACCAGACCCCCAAAATTTTGAACTACTTGTCATGAAAAGCAGGTTTGTGTTTGCACCTGTAGACCTATTTCTTTTTAGTATTATACATTAATTTATGCTTGTACTTGTCTCGGTTTCTCATACAAGTATGAGATTGTTTTATCAACCTCATTCCAAGCAAATCAAGGTTACAGCAGGGAACTATACATGCCATTCTCTCTTTTTTACAAGTGACCTTTGTTGCTGTTATCACATGCCGGGTATGTGGCCAAATAAATAAAAGCAATCCTCCATGTTGAAAATGAAAATGATTTGTACAACATGCTTGAGTAATACCACCCACCAGGGCTACAGACTGATTTTTCATTGGATATTCACAGATATGTCGCTGGTTAAATCATGGCACATTTCTCTACTGTGACACACTTCTCTTGCGTTAGAGAAAAGTGCATATAATTAAAGGGATAACAATTATTTGTATGAGATTCATACTATTTTATATATCGAATGAAATTGGTGAGAAAACTAAAAGGAAGTACATCACTCACACAATCGAAAAGTACAGTTTTCTTGAGGCAATGAAGTGGGTGCATTCTGTGATAACCTTTTGTCTGTTGGATACAAAGATTTGCACTTAAATAGAATCGATAGAATCACATTTATGACCGCGGACAAAATATGTTTAGACATACAGTGGATAGATAGACATTGCCTTACATATCTAATATACCTTTCATTTCAGGAAAGCATTTGTGGTCCAGTCCTGTCTCACGAGTAAACCCATTTGGCTGGATTTCACGTTATCCAGCAGAGCAGATGCTGGGGCCATCAACCCAATAAACAAAAACCGACCTATTAGGGGAAAGAGCAGGCTACTTTGCTTACCGATTCAGACGCTTTTAAGCACCATTGGTCGGACACACGTGGACTTCTTTTCCCTCGACATAGAGGGAGCAGAGCTGGAGGTTCTCCGAGCTTTCCCGTGGGATAAAATAACGGTTGATATGTGGACGGTCGAAGTTCATCAGCGTAGTAAGAATTACAGTCAGGCTTTAAAAGATATTAGAGGGGTATTTACTCGAACCGGGATGTATAAAGAAGTGCAGCCTATCGGACAAGATCTTACGTTTGTGCGACAAGATGTCCACTAAACATTGGAGGGTTTTTTCATATAGTAGGCTATGTTCACAAATTTACTGCAACCCTGGATTTGACCTTTTGCTTTTCCTCACGATTTTGTTATACATTGTACGTTTCTACAAAAAATTGAGAATTTTTTTATTGCATTTTGTAGAGTGTCAAACACAACACTGGTGGTGGTCCCCCCCCCCCCCCCCCCCCTTCTTCCTTTTTTTCTTTT